GAGAGAGAGAGAGAGAGAGACCGAGAAGAAGAGTAGAAGAGAACGAGAGACCGATCGTGTCTAGCCGAAGAAGAAGAAAGCTAGAAGATTACCCTCTTTCTCTTCTTTTCTTTCATTCTCTATCTTTCTTTCTCTTCTCCTTTCCCGCACTGTCCAACTCTTTCCCTTTCTCTCTTTCTTTCTCCCACCCGTCACGTGCACCTGTCTTCGTTTACCTGGTGAACGCCCCGCCCCAGCCAATAGAGGTACAGCGGGCCTCGTGACGTCAGTCACGCGTACCAGGAGGCCCTAGGTGGAGGGGCGAGATCATCCACCACCACCTTTGGAGGCCACGAAAGCCTCACGGGGACCAGCAGCTAGCAGCAGCCGGCGGCAGTGGTCTCGCCGGTCGTTTGCCGCGGGGTGGGGGCAGGAAGAGGGGTACCCCCTGGACCTGGTCAGGCCAAAGAAACAACGCAGGAGTACCCACCGAAACCCATCCTGCATTTCCCACCACCGACTCGTCCGGAAAACGTGCGCTAGCTTCCGGACGTCGTTCGTCCGAGTTCAGTCAAGTGAGTCGACTCGCACGTACCTCCTCTCCGACGAAAACGATCGCAGAGGGTTCTTCGCTCCGGAAAAGCGGGAGTGTTGGCGCGTGCCGGCGAGAATTTAAAGGGCCCGGTGGTATCGGTAGAGAGAGAGAGAGAGAGAGAGAGAGAGCGTCGACCAGTCGAAGATATCTGACGCTTAAAATAATTCGCCGATTGAATTCCCAACGGCGTTTAGGATGTAGAGAGACGTTCTCGTCCTCGCAAAACCTTCGATTTGGTACCCCACGATCTTTGAAAATATCACAACGTGGTGTCCGTATTTCGGTATCCATAAAAGGGAGAGAAAGAACCTTTTTCCAATCCCTCGGGAGATTGTAGCCTCGCGTTGATTCTGACTGATCGGTCGACTGATCGTTCGTATATCCTACTCGGATTCTCCCGGTGAACCATCATCGGTTGGTCGGTCGCGGTCGGTGATTATCGACGCAACTACGGGGATCACATCGGTGGTGAGAGTGCGTGCACGGGGGGGTGTGTGATGCCCTGGTTATGGTTAACCGTGAGTGAGGTCAGTGGCAAGAGGCGGAGAAGAAGAATCGGTAGCAGAACGTCAAGCGGATTGTCACCACCCTCGTCATCGCTGCTGCCGCCGCCGTTGCTGCCGTCGTCGTTGTCGTCGTCGTTATCGTCGTCGTTCTGCCAGCCGTTCTGGAGACGACGAGAGCAGTGACCGCGCAAGGTCGACCTCGAGGCAGAGGCACGCGATTATGGTGCACCATCATCATCGTCGCCGCGGCCTCCAGGCGACCCACCACTGTGCCACTGGGAGTCGCATAGGCATCTCACTCTTCCAGATTCTCCTGTTAATCTTCAGCTTCTTGCTGCCCGTGCTCGACAACAGCGGCTTTGCTCTGGCGTGTGGACCTGGCAGAGGCGCCGGCCGACGGCCGAATCTGAGAAAGCTCACCCCTCTGGTCTTCAAACAACATGTGCCGAATGTCAGCGAGAACACCTTGCCAGCGAGCGGACTTAGCGAGGGAGCGGTGTCTAGGTATGACGCCAAGTTCCGAGATTTGGTACCCAATTACAACACGGACATCGTCTTTAAGGACGAGGAAGGCACCGGCGCCGATCGTCTTATGACACAGGTGAAAACGCGTTCTTTTCTTTTCAGTGATAAACGAAGATGCAAATAAATGAAGTGTAACTTTATAGTCAAATTTAAACATTTGTAAAATTCTTCCGTGAATAGATAGATAAATTTTTTATATTTGTGCAGAATTATGAATAGCAATGCATTGTGAATGAAATTAGAATTTAAGTCACATGACGATTATTAAAAAAAAAGTCTTCATTTATTTGCGCCTTTAAGCATTTATGTTTTAATATGCAATAGATATTTTCAAAAAATATTTGTTTCAATATTTAAATAAAAGTATCATAACCGCAGTTAAATATTTATAATAATTTAATAATAATACATTTTTGTGAAGAAAATGTATCATTATAAATTAGACTGCGTCTCTTTAAGTTAATGGTAATTCAATTCTGGGGCTTTGTCTTAAGGGGATATTTTTAAATATCACAGTGGTAATATCGCCGATGATAAAACGCAACTCTGGTCAAATGATAAAGACGACCGTCCTTGAAGCAATTCGATTCGCTGGTGAATCATCCTATGAAACTTCATAGCGTTTACAGGGGATATCATCACAGGACTAATCAATCGGTTGATCACGGTCACATTTGGTTTCATATTAATTAAAGCGACAATTGAACGTGACACGTTATCGTGATCGTCAAATTTCTCGCTTCCTCATCTCGATGCAAGGTGGTGAAGCGTGATAAATAGAAATCCTAGAAAAAGCTGCAGTCGAAGATCTCTGAGACGATGAGGTCGGCAGTCTTCTTGATTAAATTTTCCTAAAAGTTTGCGTCGTAGTTTTTAAAAAAAAAAAATGAAAAAGAATAATTTAATTTACGTTGTGCATTTAATCGTATTGAACGCGTATATACATGATTTCGGTGATAAATAAGTTGTGTAACATTTTACGAAATACGATGATAATTTTCGATACATCGATCGATTTATCTGTGAACGGCGCACGCAGTAACGTCTGTTATTGCTTTAATGCGTGTCACCGTATCCCGGTCCGTATGACAAACTGGCTACTGCACGTCGTTAAAACGTCGACAGATGATTCACGCGAAATGCTAGCCGTCGTGATAAGCGGCCCGATCACACTCGCTTTACGCAGACAAGATCGATAGTTTATGTACGATGCTATTACGTTGCGTGATTCTTCCTCGTTGTCAATCATCAGGTAATAACATTTCCTCTGAGTCATCAGGCAGATGTGGTGCCCTTAGGAGTTTTCTTCGAAAACAGAATAACGAAACGTCAGGATTAATAACGATTAGTTAGACGATCTTTGCGAATGATCTTTCTCATGTAAATTTTTGTCACTTGACTTTAAAATCATCCGCGGGGGCTGTGGGAATGAGGGAATGAGGGAAAAGGACATCCGATCGCTCGCCCGTCATCACCTTTAGGAAGCGAGGACTGTTTGAGGTTTATTTCTCTTCCATGGAGGCTCCATTAGTGCTTTATTCATGCATTTTTTATCGGTGTTTGCCTTCCACTTGGCGCCCCCGCGAAGCGTGAAACGATTCTCCTAACTCCGGCTCCGTTGTATTCCAATTTGTAAGTCGACATCGCGCCGCGTCATACAAAGGACGGCCTCGGCGCCGCGGACAGTGGTGCTTAAGCGAACAAAACCTGAATTTTTAACAGCTTATCTAGAAAAATATCCAAATATACCGATGCAATCTTAAATTGTCGGTTAATGGGGAATTACGACGAGAGGACATGACAGGTAACAAAGTTTCTGGATCAAAGTAATCATCAGACGCGGCGAAATATCTCTCGTGTGTCGAAAGACATTCTGTTCGAGCATATTAATTACTCGAGAAGTATTGATCTGACAGGTACACATGAAACTTCCTGGAACAAAAATTGAAAACGTCAATAAACGTAAGTAAACGACTTTCCGTTCCTAGAAATATCATAGACAAATGTAAATGAGTCATTGTTATTTTTTTGTTGTTTATTTAGTCATTGTTTTTATCTTGGTTTTTCATCGGAAAAATAAAGTGTAATCAGTTTCATCGCAGATACATCTCAGATATCACAAAGTCAGTAAAAAGTCATCTGTATTGATATATGGTATTTGATAAAAAATAAATATTGGCTCGAATATAATTGCAAGATGATTTCTGTAAAGTCAAATTCAGATGAAGCAAACAACGCAAAGTTGCTTTGATGAGTTTAGGCACTGCGACTTGTACGAACCAGTCAAAATATATATATGAACGTAACTTATATTACTTTCATCTTTTGTCAATCTGTCAAAGAAATGAAGCTTGTTTATTCGTCACAAATGTTCGGTCATGCCGACTTTGCTAGCTTGGTCCTGGATCTTTTGGTACTGCTGCGTGCCGCATTGCGCCGGACCGGTTGTTGGTCTGTGTAAACCAACGTCCGAGGTGGAAATACGAAGAGTAGACTTTCCTGGGCTCGTATTTACCCAAATTTCGCAAAAGAGGGGCCGCCTTTAACGGCATGTCGCTGGGAGAACCGGCGTCAAATCTATCACCGTCCGCAGTGATTTTCACTCGTTTAAACATTACCGCAAGACAGCCGCCGTCGCCCATCGTCATGGTTTTCTCTCGGATTATACATGCTGTGCTTTTGAAACACACCGCAGGTTACAACAAGTTACTGTCGCACCGATTCTTCTCCCGCGAAAAGTCGATCTTTTGTGTTAATATTTCTTAAAAAGCCGACAAATCTTTTCAAATGGACAATTGAAGTTGACCGAAAATCCGGCTTTTTAAACACTTGAAATTTCGAAAGTCACACATAAGAATGCGAGATGTAAGAAAATGATACAAGAAATTGATTCATTGAAACTTTGTTTCCTTTATCATCACGAATAGATCATTCGCTTTTCGTGACGCTAATCGCAATCTTGTCTTTTTCTGCGTGCCAGTGCTAATTGTAATTTATATACAAAAAGCAAGTTTATAAATTTCGTTTTTGGATTATTAATATTATTTCTATTTGTCGTAAAATATGGTTCTTTTTTTTTTTTCAAAGGAAAATTTATCACGAAAGAGCGATAAATTTTTGACAAGAAATATCGATGAATTTAGGACGTAGCCGATGCCGGTGCAACGTCCTAACATTTGTCCGACAATATTTAACGATCCGATACGTTTCCGGACTTGTTCGGGCATCGATGTCTCCCAAACCGAGCCGCGATCCGTCGGTGCGTTCTCGTTAAACGATGCACGCTTCGCATGCATCTTGAAGGATACGGGAAACACGCTTTCCCGCAACGATCGTAAAAAAGGATGATGGTCCGATGACGTCGAGAGAGACGCGATGGATTCTCAACACTTTTTGCTTGTACGTAAATAATGACGATCGTACGTCAAAATGCTTGTAAAACGTAAATGAAATAAGATATTTGCTTTCGTGTGCACGCGCGCGTAGCGAAGTTATTCGTTACGCTGATTAATGGCCACGTATAATCGGAGATTTTCTTGCTCTTTGCCACCACGGTTAAATTAATTTTTAGCATTCATGCAAGCGGCGAGACGTGAGATTTCCGAAGGATTTAGCACGATAAACTTATAATGGTATTCTCAGCAATGACAAATGCTTTAACTAGAGTCATTACTTTAACCTTTCCTTAAAATGTTACACACTTGTCGTGTAATTGCCATAATCAGTCAATTAATTAATAGAAGAGGCAGTAATAAATTAATATCTTATGTCTAACGTCGTGATGTATCACCTTGACTTTTCATTTGCGAAAGTTGTAATCAACGAGCTGAGAATTATGTGATCCCGGATAAAGTAAACGAAAGAATAATAAGAAAAGAAAAATAATAATAATTTGACAAATTCAACTGATTGTTTCGGATAATCTGAAGTTAGCGTTGTTTTAAGAGCGGCGGATCGCAGGGGGATTGAAAATTGCGCTAAGCGGCAATAAAAGATGCGCGCAAGAAGCCGAGGGTAGCCGGGGAATAACAAATCGCCGGTAACTCGTCCTCCAGTCCGTTTGTCCATCCGTCCGTCCATCCGTCCGTCCACTTTGTCCTACCGCTCATCCTCGTGATCGCGCGGCGACTAACAGCGCCGGTCGCGCGGAATAAACAGGGAGAAAAAGCGCGTACCGCGCGCCGGCTCTAAGTGATTGTGGGTAGTTTTATGGCGGCCATAACCGGTGTTTGGTTTAGCGCGTTAAAGCTCCCCCAATTACGGCAAATAAACCTAATAGCCGCGCTTCTCGTTCCTCTTCCCGCTGTCCTTCTCGCTCCCCGCCCAACCGTTGGCTCTGTACCACACGAGACCCTCCCCTCTCCCCTGTCCGATCCTGTCCGATCGACCTCCTTTTCCCTCTCTTGTCTCCTTTTTTTCTCCTCGATCTCTCCACTCGATCGCACCACTTTGAATCTCTCGACCGAACGCGCGAACGCGATGAGAATTAATCGATCGTGACGACGGAACCGAAGAAACTTGGACGAGCGATATCGCGTTTGTCAAAAGTGAGTTGTCACTTCACGGAAGTGAAGCATAGGAAAGCAACGCGCGATAAGGACAAATGTTAAATTACGCGCTCGCGTTCGCGATATCCCCCCCCCCCCTCCTCTGTTTCAATCCCCTGCGATCCGGAGTAGTCGCGAGCGAGTACGGGCTACGACGTGATCGAGACGATCGCAGTAAGATAAGTGCCGTGGCGTACATATAGAATATGTCTCGAGTCGCTTGCAGTGACTTGCAGCCGGTGTCCGATGACGGTGTCCGACGATCAGCCGGGTAATCCGATAAGCGCACGTGGCGGCACGTGATACGCTCCGAATGCTCGCGAACACCCGCGAACATCGCGAAGTCGCGGTTTGCGAGATCGCCTCGCGATCCGCCGCGAAGGAAATCGCGTCGACCGAAATTGCGAACAAATTGCAGGCGAATGTTGAAAGCTGGTATAGATAAATAAAGAGGGGATTTCGTCTTCCATCACTGATATTTCGGGATATTACTTCAACACGGTATAAATACGTCCGACTCGGACGTTTT